CAAGCAGTATGCCTGCCGCCCCCTTTCCGGCCAGAGCCGGGCGGGGAGATGTGTAAGGGCCATGCACATCTCCCTGCCCAGCTCTTAGCAACATGGTACACTCTAGCCGTCGTCCCACTCAGCTCCGGGCAACCAGTGACGTCACTGCACAGGAGCCTGGATGGATGCCGGCTAGAGCCGGAACTGGGCAATGCCCCCCCCACCATTAGCTTGGACGACCGCCACCCCCCTCCTTTCCCGGGCGGTAAAAAGATAAGGACTCTCCTGCCCACTACAGTCCTACAGACTCACACTAGGCCCGTAACATACATTTTAGGTAAACCGGCCACAAGAGAAACATGGAGGCCGCCATTGCTGTCCTTTCATTTTGAAAATGTTAGATGCCTGGCTGTCATGCTGACCCTTTGGCTTCAAGGAACCGCGTGACAAAAATGCTTAGGTATGAATGGGGACTTGCGTTTTAATATGGCACCATTTAATTTTCTCACATATACAGTAATACAGTAGTGTCTTTCCAGTCTTCGCTATGTAATAACATTATTAATATTGTTTTATACCATACATGATCATTTATATATAATAAATGATTTAAAGCCAAGGTTTTATATTTAATATAAAGCATAAAGGATGAAATGAGGCCCATGTGGTAGGTTTGTTTCCTGATTAGAGCAATTATCTTTTAGACATTCCAGAAACCTGTAATTGGGAGTAGAGAGTCTAATTGACTCCAGTACACATAGTGACATCCTAGGCCTCTGTTACCATGATGAATTCCTCGTAACAGGTCATTGGTGTCCTATGGGGCAAGTCATACTGGTCATACTGGTGACTCGTATGAGTTTAGAGAGGTGCGTCCTCCTCTGGATTGCTGTGCATTAGTATGAAGTGAATAGGTGTCTAGGAGATCGGTGTACTTATACACATGAATTACCAATGTGATGAAGTATCTGATGTAATATGTCTGAATATGTTAACAGATGTCAACGTGGCGGACAAGAACGGTGGACGGAGCAGCGATGAAGATGGATTGCAGTCCTGCAGAGCTTAATACAGAATTGGATATGGAGAAATGTTTATATACTGGAGCATGCTGGTGAGGTCATGAAATGATAGTTATAATGACACTCATCCATAAAAGAAGCCATATGCATTGTCATCTGATTTTACCAATTTCCTCCAGGTCAATCAACTTTCAAGCATTAGCATTCATTATGAAATTGTTCTTTCACTTTCCTGGTTTAGGGATCCCTACGATTGTCATTGCTCCCATTTCCATCGCTTTTGGGGCACCGATCTCTACCTGGATTTTGGGTCCCACCCGATTTGGTCTGGCTGGATGCATATGATATAACTGTATAAGCGGTAGGTGATACTTTCACCTGGTCATTCATTTTCATGAAACTTATGGACTTTTTAATTTAAATATATTTACTGACCTCTCTGATTACTTAGATTTCCTCCATCTGCTGAGGAAGCGCTGGAAGCGTGAAACACGTTGAGATTTCACTTGACTGCTCCATTTCAATAGCAAGGGCTGGTTTGATATACTGTACATCTTGTGAACCTTCTGGATTCATTTTTTATATATTTTGTTTGATTTTTCCTATGTAGTAGCTGCTATTGTTATGACCCAGGTTCACTACCCCTGGCTCCAGGGACATGTGCAATATTGATTGTCTATTAACTGTGCACCACTTGCTTTGATGTTAAATGGAGTAGTGATGTCAAAGGAGGTATCATGCTAGAGGTTTGATTCTAGCGAACAATACATGCATTTTTAATTGAATAATGAATACATTGGATTTGTCATTTGGTGCCTTTAAAACCCCATCTTTACTATCTGTTTTCTATCACTTCTTTAGGTGTGTGGTGCCTATTACTCAGGTCTTGGTCACAACTTTTTTGTTTCCAGGTCAAGCAACTATTACCATGTGTGCAGGTATCAGCAGACAATACCAACTGACCTTACCTTAGGGAGAAAAAAAATAGCTTGGTCTAGATTGGGCACAACAATCAGCCAAAACAATTGGCTGCGAGTACCACCTTGATGTTCCAATGTATCATATCACAGTAAAGGATTTGGTTATACAGTATGTCTATGGAGGAAAATCAATGATTGATGATCTTGCTAATGTTAAAACATCTCCAAGAACAAAAACCAAGCACATCAATGTTCTTGCCTACTCACTGCCACTCAAGATTTCACAACCTTACACTGCCATATGGTGATCATTTAGGGATTCTTAAATTGGTTGCATCATGTCCCCTCACGCATTACAATCTGGATGTGTAATTGTCAGCAGAAATGTAGTGCAAGGGACTACCTGATTGGATGTAAATTGAATAGATTGTTTAGGCCGGCCCTTGCTCTACATTGCTGTAGGTTACTGCTTCTGGTCTACCAGTGGATTGTAAAAAGGTAGGACCTACATTACTTTAGGAACAGATGGCAAAATCCTATAGATCCCTGGTGCCCAACCTGGGACCCAAAAGACCCTATGTTATTAGAAGTGTGGCCTTTGGGCCCCAGCAGTCAGTAGCGGGAGCATTGATTTGTAAAGGGGCCTTTAATATCAGTGATCTCTAGCATTCTTTGTAACACGTTTCTAGTTTTAGACAGTCTCCTACAGCTGACCACTTTCTCCATTTAGTCTTTGTCTATTATGGTTTCCTGTTGCATGTAAATTGTAATAAATATTACATCAGGCCCTTTGAAGACATCAGGGGTCCCATTTGAGGCCTCCTGTACCTCGACAACCCCTGCTATTGATAACCATGCAATCTGCCAGTCTCCAAAAACTGTTGTAATCCATCCGTATCTCACATAACGTTTACCTGTGCATCATTTAGGTTCACTCTGTGCTTATTGATCAGTGTTGACTAGAAATAGAATTGTCATGGAAGAACCTATTTTACAGGCCCCTCACGGAGGCTTGGTTCCCATGTAGACTCTACATGACAAGTACAAATGTCAGCTTCTTCCATCAAACAGGAGACCAACATTTAGGAACCACAATGATCAGAAGCTATCACGTACCTTGCTGCATTCAGTAGAGTCACCCCAATTGGCTGCCATTTTGGCTTGATAGAATATAAAAAAACAGTGGGGGGATCAATTAAACAATATTCACTCATAACTGAAGTTTTTTTTAAATTATTATTTTAAAAGGTCCATAAAGGGTCAATTAGCCTAAATTGATATTTTAATTATCCCTGGAACCTGGTGGGCTGAGTCAGGGTCTTGGATACTCCAACAATGAGATTTCCGTTTCATAATGCCCTATTTACCTGGGAGCTTTGGGCATCTGGCTCCTTCTGTTACATTTTGCATAAAATATTAAAATCCAGCAGGAAGATCGGGAACCTTTCATAATGGCCTCAGAAATTGTGCAGATCCAGGTGCAGAGATCTAACCTATAGATTCCATGGGAGATGTAAGAAAGTGACAATTGGGTTATAAGTCTAACATCTACCAATACCTAAAAAGATCAAACAGGGGTGGACTGACCCTTTAATGGAATTTTAACTTTAACACCTAGCTTTTCCTCAAGCCCAGTCTACAACTAATGGATCTCATCAATTAGTCCCATAAGGATTTATTTATAACATAATATAAGTGGATAAACATTGTTTTATAGCGTGACATGGTTAAGGAGATTATCCAGATAGCGATCTGACTTGCAAAGGGTCCACCTGTGGGGTGTACAGAGTGCACGCAGGCGATCGCAGACAATACCCAGATCTATATAATTCATGGCCTGTTTTAGAAGAGACAGGTCCTAAATGTTGAAGGTTCGGCTCCATTTCCTTGCAAGGCTGTGAAGATGGAGCAAGTGTACCAGTGCAGAGAGCTCAGGGAAGTATGATGACCGAAGATGTGACAACTAGGATGTAACACAAGCATATTTTTTCTACCTTAACTTTGTAGCATGCAGAATATTTGTTAAATGAGATGTAACCCTAACTAAACGAAATCTAGTTTTCTAATGTACTGTGCATTGTAAACAATTAACAGTTTTTAAATTACAATACGTGTTTTCATCTTTTTATTATCCTTTGTTGCATCTCAGTGCAGCTGATCTCCTGCAGACTTCTTACAGATGCTTGCTGTCTACATGCCCTCCAGCAATGGCTGCATGGCATTTCTCAGGGCGGGTTTCCTGATGGTGACAACAGAGGACCGTGCCTGTGTAATGTGTATAGAAATGACACATCAGAAGCCTATGACATCACAGGAGCACAAGTGGACAAAGCTTTGTCACCCTATAAAAGGAAGTGCCTAAGCAAGGACCTTCATGGCAAGATCACCAGGTATTTTTTTTATAAAATTACAAAATCTTTTGAAATGATGTTAACATGTTAAAGCCTATATGAGTTTATTATGGTGATTGGGTTTATATTTACTTTAATTAATAGCTGCAAATATCCAACGTAGGGTAGCAGGCACAAAGAAAAGTCTTATAAAAACGCACTGACAAATGTAATCTACATCCATCAATTTGCCTTATGTTAACATTGTTTGACAACATCCCCCAGATTTCTTTTCCAAAAATATTCAAAAGACAATATTTCAGCAAGCTGGAAAATATCTGTTAATGATATTAGTAGGAACTTTCATCTACTTAAAATAGTTTGATTTTTGCCAATAGTTCACCTATCCTAGCTATATAGCAAGTGATATGCAAACCATTCTCTACTTAAAAGAGAACTCCAGCTAGAAAAACGATAATTCATATACGTGCCTCTGAATGAAGATTTAAGTTTACAAATCTGCTTCCTCCAGCTGAGGGTAAATTTATTGTTGTTGGTAATCTAGATAGGGACGTTGCTGGGCACAACTAGATTGTGTGTAAAAGCTACTGAATCGTAATGGGACAATATTTCGCTTCAAAAGTGATGCATCCAAAATTAGTTTCTCTATATTAATGTTTGTGACTGATGTTTTGGGTTTTCCCGAAAGTACTTTAGATTGTTTGCATCATTTTTTTCCTGCAAACCAAATGCTTGGTAGGGAGAAAATGTAAAGAGAGAGGAGAGAGAGAGAGGAGAGAGAGAGAGAGAGAGAGGAGA